GTTGGGGATATTTGACCCATTCTGGGTGCATTGTCCCACCCGTCACTGTACCCAAAGTACCCAAACTCCCTCCGGTTACAGTCCCTAAAGTTCCCATAGTACTCCCGCCAGTTGTCCCGGTGGTGCCCAAACTGCCCGTCCCACTTCCGCCCGTCACAGTTGTCCCTCCGCCGGTGACGGACCCGAAGGTGCCGTGCCCGCCGCCTCCGGCGACGGTGAAGCCGCCGCCGACGGCGAGCTGCCCGATTGACTCGCTGAAGCTGGGTGCGTGCGTGGATCTTCTAGGAGGGCTGGTCCACATAGGGCTGGGTGACCCGGCGGCGAACGAGTGCTGCCCGATAATTTCGGGGTTGGTTGAGATTGAGGCGGCGGTTTGTCTGTGCACAACTTTGAAGATAAAAGCGCTGAATCTGAACATATATTTGCCACTTGCTCTTCAGCTTCTTCTCACCTGTGGAAAAGCGCCGCCGCCTGGATACACTTGTTCTATCTAGATCTTCATATTCAGGTTCAGTAGTGTGTGTGTGTGTGTGTGTGTTATAATGTGTGTTTTTCTTTCTAAAAAATTAAGGGGCAAAAAAGTCTTTTTTTCTTAATAATTAGATTAACGTACGTACGTAGGGTTTAAGATCTTGCATGATTAATAGGTTAAGTTAGTTAAGTTTCTAAAATTAGGTGTTGCTAAATATATATATATATATATATATATATATATATATATATATATATATATATATATATATATATATATATATATATATATATATATATATATATATATATATATATATATATATATATATATATATATATATATATATATATATATATATATATATATATATATATATATATATATATATATATATATATATATATCTCTATATATATATATGTATATGGCTATCTAAATATATTTTTATATATCACTCTATCTCTCAGACACAGAAACATTCTCTCTTTGTGACAGAGACAGACACACACACATATACACACACACACATACACAT